AAGGCGAGTCGGTGTCGATTCCTTTTGATACGTGTCGTCATCATCACCAGCCAATCAATGTCCACACTGCTGGGTCACAGAATTTCTATGGATGGAATACATTGGAATATGGAGATTTGACTGTGACCTACCACGCGGGCCCAGCGCAGATTGGTGGATACCAACGACTGCAGATGCGGCCGGAACCAACGGCGTCACGTACCTTCCGAAGCGTGGAGGAGTTAGATATAGTAAGTGTTTGTTTAGGTACCCATCCAATGATCGACCTTTGCGAAAGTTGCTTAACTTCCACGATCGCAGCCAAACGCGATATCAACCTGCGCCATCGAGCACAGCTGATATGTGTGCTAAAATGCGAATACGGATAAAATATGTGATATAAGTATGAGTAAAAAGAGAAAGACAAAAAATATACGTTTCAGTGATTAACAAACTATTGGGTATGTACCAATGATGTACTCCCATACAGGTCTTACAGGGAATACAATAAAACTAACCCCACTAACAGACTAAATACCTCAGTCATGGGATCGGAAGTACCTCACCAACAGATTTTCATAGCTGAAAATTTAACCCCTCGTGCACGACGTTTGTTTCACCGGGCTCGTGAATTTGCGAAACAAGAAAACTATAAATATTGCTGGACCGCACACGGGAAAATTCTTTTACGTAAGCAGGATAATGATAGGTTCATTGTTTTATCGTCAGAATCTCAGTTTAATGAGCTCCAGTCATATAACTAATTTATACATTAGTTATACGTTATGTCACTTTAAACTTTTTTTATTTCACCTTTATAACATTGTTTCTACAATAGCGCAGATTTATATTATTTTAATTTCGTACTTCGATAATATTTTTAATAAGTTTATGTTTGTTTCATCGCTTCAGAATTTGCCACAAGTATACAAACATTGCACATCCATAAGGTACAAATATTTTGTCTATTTTATACATTCATATTCGATAACTGTAACTCAACTCATTAGGTACATACTGATGTATCTTCATATAAACTATTCTGTTACGCTTAAATATTTTTATATTTACGTTTTTTCAATACTGATGCACTCGCCTTGCGTAATTGACTCAACGTATAATATTGCTGTACCCATGACATCATTATATAAAATTCACTAGTGATCCCGACCTATTAAATAATATTGACGATGTCACAGTCTGTAAATCACTAACATGTACACCGGGTGAAGTTCAAACGTTATTGACACACCAAAATAGAACATTATGCTTACTTACCCAGAATATACGCAGCATCTCCGCCAATATGTGTAGTTTTAATGTACTTTTGAATAGTCTTAATACTAACCTAGATGTTATTATACTTACAGAATGTTGGCTCAAGTCCGATCCCCTTATTCCAACATTAAAAATCTTTTCTTATTACTCATCTTCTAATCCTGTAAATCAAAATGATGGAGTAGTAGTTTATTGCAATACTTCACTCCCGGGGGTAACTGTTTCGGAACCGGGTATCGTAGAAGCAAGTTCCTTGCTTATAGAGATAGGTAGAGAAGTAGCGACCCTTGCCATCTATCGTCCCTGTGCTTTCAAAAGTGCACATAACTTCATACTATCACTCCATTCTATACTAGATAGAATTAAAAACTCTAAAACTATAGTTATAATGGGTGATATTAATATTGACATATCCCCAAATGTTAATCATTCTGATACAGAAGAATACTTAAATACTCTTGCTCATCATGACCTCCTTCCGGCTCACACCTTACCCACTCGTAACTTAACGTGCCTTGATCACGCAATTCTAAAATCACCGTCCTCTGCCACTTCACTTGTGATTCATTCAAGTGTAACAGATCATGAACCGGTACTTCTTGCGCTCTGCAACACCAAAACGGTCGCACCCCCCAAACTTATTAAAAAAATCAACTACATCAATATAGCTGCAATAATTAATGAAATAGATTTCTCTCCAGTGTTAAATTCCACAGATCCTAATTCTGCCACTGACTTCTTTATTAAAAAACTACAGTCAGTTATTGATCTACATACCACAAACTTGCCTGTACCTAGACGGCAACGAATAATAAAACCATGGATAACGCCAGGGCTTTTAAGATGTATAAATAATAGAGACAGTATGCATAAAAAACTAAAATTAAATCCTGACAACAGTGTACTCAAAACAACCTTTACAAGATACCGCAACTTTTGCAATTCTCTTCTAAAACGGTTAAAAAGGGCATACGATACTGAGCTCATTAAAAAGGCAGGCTCAAACAGTAAACACCTCTGGAAGGCTATTAAAGAAGTGACGAATTTAAATAAATCCCGCACTTCCGGTGACCCATTACTTTACACAATGCCCTCGAAAGAAGAATCGTTAGATCGAGAGAATGAGTTTTTCGTGAATGTTGGAAAATCATTAGCAGAGGATATTCTCACTCAAAACCCAATAAACGCCTCATTACATTCAGTTTCCTCCTCTGCTCTGACTCCATCTCGCAATGCTGAATCCTTTGTTTTGCTCGAAACGTCTCAGCAGGAGGTTGAGCTTATTATTTCTTCTCTGAAACAAGACTGTGCGGTGGGTTGGGATAACATCTCAAATTCATTTCTAAAGCGTTTTAAAAATGTTCTTGCTCCTAGTATAGCTCACATATGTAATATCTCTATTACTAAGGGCATTTTTCTGTCAGCTTTCAAAAAAGCACTAGTACACCCTATCTACAAATCTGGAGATCAAGACTGTGCAAACAGCTATAGGCCTATCTCAATCTTACCAGCACTGTCTAAGGTATTGGAAAAGATCGTTAATAAACAATTTATTAACTTTCTTGAAACAAAGTCATTATTATCCCGTGCACAGTATGGTTTTAGACAGGGTAAATCAACCGCTGATGCCGTACATGATCTCACAAACTATATTTCCACCAACTTAGATAAGGAACAAAAATGCTTGGCCATCTTTTTAGATCTTGCAAAGGCCTTTGATACGGTTTCCGTGCCAATCTTGCTTACAAAGCTTGAAGCCTTGGGAGTTCGAGGTAATCAGTTCTCGTTATTTCATAGTTATCTTTCCAATCGCACGCAGAGAGTATGTATGGCAAATGGGATTACTAGTTCAGAGCTTCCTATTGAGTATGGTGTTCCACAAGGAAGCATACTAGGCCTTACGCTGTTCCTAACATTCATCAACGACCTCTGCTCTCTCAAAATCCCAAGCTGTAAAATAATTGCCTATGATGACGGCACAGCCTTATTGTTTACTGCAAGCTCATGGAGGGAAGCCTTTTGTGTAGCTCAAAGGGGATTTGATACAGTAACAGCATGGTTACGAACCCACCTCTTAAACTTGAATGTTCAAAAGACAAAATATCTCACTTTCTCCATTAGAAGGATTCCTCCCACTTTTCTAAACAATCTTAACATCGTTGCTCATTCTAAATCCCACTGTCTTCAATCCCAATCCCCATGTAGTTGCGCTCCTCTTTCCATGTCTAGCTCCATCCATTATCTAGGAGTTCTTGTAGATAATCGTTTAACTTTCCAATCTCACCTTTCACTCACAGCATGCAGAATACGTAAACTCATCTTTATCTTTAAAAATTTGCGTCACGTAGCTCCTTCCGGTATAGTTAAATCTGTATATATAGCACTCTGCCAGTCACTTTTGATATACTGCATTACTTCCTGGGGAGGCGCCTGCAAAACTCATATTCTGATCCTCGAAAGAGCACAAAGAGCTCTGTTGAAAGTGTGCACCTTCAAACCTATACTTTTCCCCACTGATGAGTTATACCAATTTTGTGATGTACTAACAGTCCGCCAACTCTTCATTCTGTATACCATCCTGAAACAACATGGCCTAACTGAACCTGCTCTAAATCGACGTAATCACTTATTGCTATTTCCTCTTGCTTCAAAACCTCTTTTAGTAGACGATTCTTCTGTTTCCTAGGTTCTTTTCTATACAATCGCCTGCAACTAAAACTTAATATTTTGGGACTAACTAAATACTCTTGCAAACCCACTGTCTCTAATTATCTAAAATCATTAAACTACGATCAAACCGAAAACCTGCTGCTTCGTTTGGGATGATAATTGGCGTAAAGTGAAAACTTGGCTTTTCCTGATTATTATAGTTACTTTGTGTCCGAGTGTGTATGTATTTTGGATGTATGTATCTATATTCATGTATACAGTTGCTAATAAGTTGTATGTGTCTGAGTGTGTGTGTGTTTGGATGTATGTATCTATATCCATAAATGCTGTGTCATAACCATGATTGTGTACCTTATACTATGGCAAATTCACCTTCTCAATTTATTTTTTGTATTTTTCGTATACAATAAGTAGATTTTTTACTTTATGTTAACGTCCTAAGCTGTATAGACATATTTGTAATAGATTGCTGTAACCTAACCCATCCCAAGGAGGGGGGACCGGTGCTCTGAAATACAAGCTCGGCTTAGTTCAGACACCGATCTCTCATGACATCAGGTATGCAATGGTACTCATACTACGATTGTTAAATGTCTATCCATCCATATGCCTATAAAAATGTTATTATTAGTTATTTAAAAAAAATGTTGTCGATGCCAAAATGTTGTGACGAGAAATAAACGATTATTTATAGGTACTATAGATAGCAAAGAATGGCACATCAAATTTTAGAGTATTGTTAAATTGTTGGTAATACGCGCCATCAAAGAATAATAAAAAATATCGTGTTCAGTATTTTTTTTACTTGTAAATGCCAGAGGGCCAATCACTTGGGGGGGAGGGGGGCGTTAGTACCCTTCTCTTCTTCTTGGTTTGAGAAAAATATTACTTACTTTCAACATAACATTAATTTGGCTGTATGTACCCATATTTCTTTCTCTGACAAATAGTGATTTAAAACTTGCAGTGTCACTGTCAGTCTTCTAATACGAATTGTTGTGAAATATTTATTGATTTTTCATATTTTACTTATTTTTTTGTGTCTGAAGAAAAATACATAATTTTTCGTCAAAATGAGATGGACAGTTCATATCGATGGTGGCCCGATGCGGGTTAACCATGCTGCAGTCTGTATAGGAAACAAAATCTACTCTTTCGGCGGTTACTACTCATCGGAAGAATATAAAGATTGGGATCCAATCCCAGTCCATGTATTAGACACTGTTACGTTGCGGTGGTCAGCAGTTAACTATAAAAGGAATGACGTAGTCCCATTCCAGAGATATGGTCATACGACGGTGGCATACGGAGACAAAGTACCTATACTAAAATAGAAGTTTATATTACAGTAAAATATGTGTGAAATGACATTTTCTGTTAAATTTCAGGTTTACATGTGGGGAGGAAGAAATAACTCTGTGGCATGTGAAACACTGTCCTGTTTTGATACAAAAACTCTAGAATGGAGTACACCCCCAGTAACAGGCATGGTACCATATGCGAAAGATGGTCACTCTGCTTGTCTCATAAAAAACAAAATGTATATTTTCGGCGGCTTTGAATATCTCACAGATCAGTATTCACAAGAAGTTCACTGTTTAGATTTGGATACCATGAATTGGACATTTATAGATGCAAAAGGCACACCACCCTCACATCGGGACTTCCATACTGCTGTTGCAGTTGGCGATAGAATGTATATATTTGGAGGAAGGGGAGATTTGAATAGTCCTTATAACTCACAAGAGGAAATATACTGTCCTCAGGTGTACTACTTAAATACTTTGGAAGAGAGATGGGTGGTAGCTAATCCAAGTGGTAATTGGCCTGAAGGAAGACGGAGTCACTCTGCTTGTATGTCATACATAACCATTAACCAACCGTGATATTTTATTTCAATACAAGAATTCTTAACTGCACAGATAATTTTACAATGTTTGCAGGGCTTTACAATGATCATATGTTTATTTTTGGAGGGTTCAATGGCAACTCAAAAACCCATTTCAACGACCTCTACAGTTATTCAATAAAAGATAATTGCTGGCAATACATAAATGTAAAAGGCTCAGTGCCCTGCAAAAGAAGACGCCAGGCCTGCCTTATTTATCAAGATAAAGTTTATTTATTTGGAGGAACAAGGTGAGGTGAATTTACATATAGAATTATAAAAATATTTCTCAACTGAAATTTTGCTGAAGTATGTTTAGTATTTCATGCTTTATAATTTTATCAACTTATAATTGTAGCCCTTGTCCGAACCAGAACATACGCCCTGCAGATAATTTACATGATGATGATCCAGAGAGGCTTATAGACAACAGTGATCTGCATGTATTGGACTACTCTTGTTCTCTAAAAACACTTAGCATCCTCACTGTTTTAGAGCATAATCTTGATCAGTCGTCATTGCCACGAGACATAATGTGAGCCTTTTTAAACTTAATAATAAAATACTATTATTATTATTATTTTTTTTTTTTTACTTTTAAGTAATAATAACTACAAAATGACAAAAACATTAACATTTCATTATTTGTTTCAGAATTGACATTCGCACCATGACTTTGCCAAACCGTATAAGCAGGCCAATAAATCAATCTGGCTAATATCTTATTCAAGATGCAACTATTTATTTATAAATTACAACAAGTATAGATACCTATACCCCACTTTCTTGGATTGATTATAACAGACTCTGTTGGTGTGTAATTGTTATCTTGTGATGCTCACTGCAATATTACTTTTAAAACTCATTTTTGTTGTGGCTTCAGCCACTGTAAGTGGTAAAACCAGCCAGCCCCGTGGGCCTTTGAAAAAATATTATTAAAATATTTTATATAATTGGTAATAATTACATGACTTACAAGATTTACAAGGTGTGGTGTTTTGTTGACTTTTGTGTAACTATCTTTCTTGGAATATTATCAATAGGCATTTTACAAAAAAAAAATGGTATTTTCAATATGTTTTTGTGTGGAAAATGTTTTCTTTCAAAATGTTTTGTACTAGGAATTAATAGATACTCATATATAATACTTGACATTGCCACCAATTTTGTATAAGTTTTGTATCTCATAAATATAACAAAGTCATGAACATTACCTACAGGTAATTACATTAATTTATTTAAATAATAACTCATCTATAATGCATTACAGTATGAGAGTGATTATGACTTCACTTAACTGTGAAGTTAGGAATCACTATGAAACAGTATTTTGTCACTTGCTATAAAATAAAACCATATAATTTAGATATAAAATTTATTTACTCATCTTCCTTTACAATATGTTTGTTTCGTTCAGAGACATATGGGACAGCACCTGGTTTGCTATGAGAGCGTCTGTTAGCCTCCTTTCTCTTATTCTTTTCCTTGATTGTGCAAAGTTCTTTCTTTGCATTATAAATGTGTTTTGGAACATGTCTATGGCGAGAAATACGCCTTATCTGTGGATGATGTGCAAACTTCTCCTTCAATGCTTCAGAATAGTTCAATGCTGTTCTCTCACGTGGTTTGAGCTGGAAATACAGAATAAATAGTTTAATATTACCGAAATGGTAAAAAAAAATTATCATGGATTAAATCTGAACACTTACAACACCAAGTTTTTCAGAAGCTCTAGCTTTCCACATTCTTATATTCATTTCATCAGAGCCTGACAATATATACTTATTGTCTAAAGACCATTTTACACATGTTAGCCTCTGCATCCTTTTTGTGTGGTAAACGTCCCTGGAGTGACCTTTAAGACTTTCAAATATCCTAATAGATTTGTCATAACTCCCAGATACAAATTCTCGCCCTGTGGGAGCATAATCCACATCTATAACAGCTGATGTGTGATCCACGTGAATATTAACAGGATGGCTGAGTTTTCTCACATCAAATGTGTACAAACTAAAAAGAAAGGTAAATTGTTCTGTTTCATCCGTAAATAAACAAAATGTTGAAAAGGAAACAATACTGCAACATTATAAAATATTTCTACTTACTTGTAATCTTCATTAGCTACAGTAAATATAAATGCTTCCATAGGATTCCAGGCTAAACTATTTGAACGCAATTCCATGACCACTTTTCTGAGAGGACCTGATTCTCTACTATCATACAAAATTATACTTCTGTCACTTGCACATGCTGCTAGCAAGTTCTCCTCTACCTGCAAATTAAATTGAATCTTTACTAATCATCCTCAAAGGAAATTAATATTGATAACTTTTTAAAAATTAATTAATTGATACCTCTCATTTAAATTGGTTCAGTATATTCCTTTTATTTTTGTTGGAAAACCACTAAACAATAAAAATAACGAGAAAATGCCAACATAAGTAATAAAATTATTAATCCTTCCATTAGCTTTGTCATAATTGAATAAAACTGGCCCACTACAGTTAATAAAACAAGTACATTTCCCTTCTTCATACAACCAATCGATTTAATAATAATAATAAATAAATATTTCCAACACTCACACCAATTAGCCTAGCCCCAAAGTAAGCACTGTAAGGCTTGTGTTATGGGATGCTAGGGTAACTGATAGAATACATATACTGAACATCTTAATATATATAATTCTTCTGTGAGTGAGTATGTCACTGAACTTCTCTTAAACGACTGGACCGATTTTGATGAAATTTTTTGTGTGTGTTCAAGGGGATCTGAGAATGGTTTAGATTCACAATTTTGTCCGCTGGACAACCCCTATTTTTTTAGGGCGGTACGAAGTTCGCTGGGTCAGCTAGTATATAAGTATATTTATATAGAAAATACATATTAAACATCCATGACTGGAGTGCAAATGCTCGTATTCATCACACAAACATCTGCCCCCACCGGGATTTGAACCCGGGACCTCTCGAGTCGGCGACACCATAAAACCAGGTGTACAAACCACTCGGCCACGGAGGTCGCCTTTCACACTTTCCACTGTATTGATAGGAATACAAACCAGATTAAAAGCAACATGATGAAGACTGTCCACACCCCATTTAAATACTTTTATGGGTTCACTTCTTGTTTTTTCCCACAGCTGGCAATGTTCTCCGCATGTTGCAAATAAGGGTTTTGACTTATGATGTGTAACACCCGATACAACGGACATACTAAGTAATGTGTTTATAGGTTCCTCGTCATCAGGAGTCTGGATTTCAGCTTTCCAAGATTTAATTGTTTTGTCATCCCCAACACTTACAAATGTTTCGCCATTCGGTGTGAAGCAAAGAGAACGAACCCAACCCTCGTGAGCAACAAAGTTTCTTGTACATTTCCGAAGTGCTAAGTCCCAAATTCTAATTTCGCCATCAAATGCACCACTGGCTAAAACAGCCAATCTACTTGGATGCTTAGCCAAGGCAGATACCCCGTCTCTGTGTCCATCGAGGTTTCCAATAAAAGGTTTGGCAAAAACACGCTCTAATTTAACAGCGTTTAGTGCTCTAACATATTCTCGAGGTGCCTCCATAGGATGAAGACTTGGGTCATAGTTTCTCGGAACTGAAACAGACATTAGACCGAATGAAATGAATATTTAATTGTTGGCTATCGAAGAAAATTTAACAAATGAATATTTACTAACGCTTGTGGATATCTCTTTTCGTGGCACGTAAATAATCTTCTGGATTTCTGCTGATGACTTTAATTTTCACATTTGACATTTTTATTTTATACCTTCTTAGTTAGTTTCTGTATTAAACTGATTTTCACCTGGTATATTACTTACTGTATTTGCTGATAATTAAAATTTATAACCTCTTCTAAAATTTTAATAGAAAACATTCATCACACACACTATACTAGTTTTTTTTTTTAATTTATTCAGCTTTGGCTCCTGGGCCATCAGCAAAAAAGAATTACTACAATGGTATTCTAGAGACTTACATAGGTAATATTACAAATTTTGTTATAAATTTACAGATAAAACAAAAACATAACATCCAGAAGAACACAATGAGAAATAACAAAAGAAATATATATATACTCCATAAATTAACAACAACAAAAAAAATAATGACTCATATTTAATTTTTAAGATTTTCCCTTTTTAGGGAAGGCAAAGGGAACAATGCCCATACAGCCTTATCTTTAGTTATACAAATCTTTATTTTTTTACATTAGAATGTCAGTGTGACGCATTCTAATGTTTCTTGGAGTATTGGGTAGTTTTCCAATTACAGAGCATAATGCGACTCAGTGGCGCACAATGCCGAATAGGCTAGTTTACTCATGTCAAATTGTATTAAATAAATGTTTATTTCTTAAAGTATTTAGTCTAAGGAACCTTAATATATCGATTTCACTTCATAAAAGCAGAAGATTGATGTAGAAATTTAATTTTAAAAAATATTTTTTAGTCTATATTTTTTAAACACTAAAAACGCTTTTTCTAGTTATATTTTTTTCTAGTTATATTTTCTTTAGATTTAAACATCAAGCAGTTACATGCTTTATAAATAATAAAAATTGTAACTAAAAACGCTGTTCGCCACATCCGCCATGATTTTGACGTCTCTTCTGGTAAACAACTAAATGTCATTCGCGTGTTACTGTAGGTGGATTCTTTTGTCTGACTAAATTTATCATAAAACACTTTTAACTTTAGGAAAGAAAAAAACAGTAATATTAGTTTTTTTTTGACAAAACTAATTATGGATGCCGGCTTTGTGAAAGCAGAAAGCACAAATCTGCCAAGAATTGACGCATTGATGGTTGGTGAATTTGTTGCACTAAACCCCGATTTCTGCTCTGCGGAGCAGAGAAACGACAAGGCATCTATGTAAGTACAGTGCATTTAGTATTACAATGTAGTAATAAACATAAAACTGATACAACATATGAATAAGTGTAATAAAGTTGCGTAGGTTAATTTCTTTCGGCACTTTAATCGACAACTTTCCTGGAGTCTTCAAGGATGTGTTTTTATATTCTCGTACAATACAGTAATGATAATTACTTTATTTTTCGTGGTATTTATTGTCCAAAACGCAGATTGTTTCAAAAGGTTATGGGAACAGCGGAATCCGTGAGTAGTAACATATATTCATGATAATAAAGTGTGTCATATTGGAATACAATGGCGTCCTCAAGCCACTTCGAATATCCGCAATTGAAGGCAGATAATTTCGATAATTGGATGTTTAGACTAAAATGTTTATTGAACGAAAGACAAGTAAGCGATTTAGACACTGATTGTAGTAAATTGACTAAAGAACAATTGGAAAATTATAACAAAAATGACGCCAAGGCAAAGTTAATTATAGTGCAGTGTACATCCGATAAATACTTATACATAATAAAAGACTGCAAAACAGCGAAAGATATGTTGGAAACATTATCAAGGATTTTTCAAAGAAAAAGTGTATTGTCTAAATTACGATTACGACGGCAACTTTGAACATTAAAAATGGCCGACACAGAAAAACTAGAAGATTATTTTCAGAGATATGATAACTTGACACGTGAGCTAGAATCGCTTGACACACAGATAGCATTAGAAGACAAAATTTGTTATTTGATGATTGGTTTACCAGAGAAATTCAATACAGTAATTACAGCCATAGAGACCATTACCGAAACCATTACACTTGAATTTGTAAAAGCTAGATTACTTGATGAAGAGTTGAAATTGTGCAATAACAAAAGTGAAATTAAAGAAGAGACAAGATCAGTTGCATTTAAAGCTATAATCTGTTACAAATGTAATAAAAAAGGTCACAAGGCAAACGAGTGCAGAAGTAATACTAACAATTTTAACATACAGGGTGGAAAATTTAGAGGAAATTATAAAGGAAGAAATTACAGAGTAAATAATAGAGAACCAAATACTAATAATGAAATAAATAAAGGAAGTTTTCTCACATTTGTTGCATTGAATACAGACATTAATACAGAAAAAGAAAAGTTTATATTAGATACTGGAGCTACAGAACACTTAATAAAAAATGATTTAGAGACATATATGACAAACATACAAGTTTTAGAGAAACCTATAAAAATAGTTGTTGCAAACAGCAAGTGCATGTTGGCATATAAAGTTGGTGACTTATTAGTTAAAATAGATGGAATAGAGATAAACATTGAAGGTGGATTGATTGTTGAAGAATTGAAATTTAACTTATTATCAGTATCAAAAATAATAAACAAAGGTTTTGAAATTAAAATAAATAAAAGAGGCATAATACTATATAATAATTATAAAGGAATAAGATTTCAAGCACCTCAAGTAAACAAATTATATACACTACAAGTTGATATAGAAACTGTTCATGTGAACCAAGTAATTACAGCGAATACTTGGCATCAGCGACTAGGTCACTTAAATAGAAATAGTATGAAGATACTTGGCCTACCAGTTAGTAAGGAAAAATGTGAAACATGTATAGAAGGAAAAGCATGCCGATTACCATTCGACAATAATTATAATACAAGTAAAAGAATTGGTGAGTTATTACATACAGACATATCAGGACCTATAAAAGATGAAACACCAGCAGGGTATAGATATTTTCAGGTAATCATTGATGACTATTCGCATTTTACTCAAGTCTATTTATTAAAAAGGAAAAGTGAAGCTGAGTTAAACTTAATATATTACATAAAAGAATTAAAAAGTACATTTAACGTTAGAACAAAAGCCATAAGAACAGACAATGGTGGAGAATTTAGTTCAGATCGATTTAAAAATTATTGTAAAAATAGAGGAATTGAATTACAATATACTATGGCATATACTCCGCAGCAAAACGGAAAATCTGAGCGGATGAACAAAACTTTAATGAATAAAGTTAGAACAAAGTTTTTGGATACAAAATTACCAAAATTTTTATGGGGCGAAGCAATAAAAGCTTCAGCTTATGAGTTGAATAGATCTCCAACAGTTGCATTGAATGGAAAAACACCATCAGATATTTGGTATGGTAAAAATGACTTATCAAGACTCAGAGTGTTTGGTAGTAAATGTTGGGCAGTAAATTTGAAAAGAACAAGCAAATTAGATCCAAATGCACAATCATATATATTTGTAGGATATGATCTAGGAGGATACAGATTGTGGTGTTCAAATGAAAATAAATTAATACGATCAAGAGATGTAATATTCGATGAAAGTAAATGTATATTTGGAAGATAAAAACAGTAATAATTCAGAGGGAGAAATAAAAGAAATCTCAGATGGCATAAAAGTAATACAAGAAAATACACAAGTATATACAAATGAAGATAAAGAAAATGAAATGATTGAAGACATAGATAATGAAAACAAAGAAATTACAAATGAAATGAATGATAAAATATCTAAATATGGAAGAAAAATAAGAAAACCAAATAAATTAAATGATTATGAGACTTATGTTGCTTATTGTATGATTTCAGGAGAAGAATCTATAGAATATGAGGAAGCGACAAAGGATATGGAATGGAGAAATGCAATTAATAAAGAATTGAAAGCATTAAATGACTTAGATACATGGGAAGAAGTAAATAAACCTAAAAATACAAAAATAGTGGATACAAAATGGGTATTCAAAGTAAAAGAAGACGGAACTAAAAAAGCTAGATTAGTTGCCAAAGGGTATCAGATAAAACAAAATAATAATTTTGAAATAATGTATGCACCGGTAGCTAGACTATCGACAGTAAGAATGATGTTATCTAAAGCAATTCAAGAAGATTTAGAAATAAGACAGTTAGATATACCTACTGCTTTTTTGAATGGAAAGTTAAATTCAGAAGTTTATATTAATGTTCCTCAAGGTTTAGAATGTTCAAATAAAATTAACACAGTATTAAAATTGAAGCGTGCATTATATGGTTTGATAGAATCACCAAAGTGTTGGAATGATACTATAGATAAATTTGCAAAAGAAAATGGATTTAAACGATCAAATTATGATTATTGCTTATATTATAAGAATAATTGCTGGATGATAATTTATGTAGACGATATTATTTTAATTGGAGACACAAAAGATATAGTAAATTCATTACAGAAACATTTTAATGCTAAAGACTTAGGAGAAATAAAGAACTTTTTGGGTATGGAAATTTATAGAGAAGAAGATAAACTAATTATAAAGCAAACTAAATTAATAGAGAAGATTTTAAACAAATTTGGAATGACAGAGTGCAAAGGTATAAGTACACCAATAGAATCAAACTTAGACATAAAAAATGAAGAAGAAAGAAAAGACTTGCCTTACAGAGAATTGATGGGAAGCTTGATATACATTACAATGACATCAAGACCAGATCTTACATATGCAGTGTCATATTTAAGTCGTTTTATAGAAAAACCCACTGAACAGACATGGAAAGCAGGAAAAAGAATATTGAGATACATAAAAGATACTAAATACAGAGGACTACTGTTTAAGAAAAGTCAAGAAAATGATTTAATTGCTTACTCAGATGCAGATTGGGGGGCAGATAAGATAGATAGAAAAAGTGTAAGTGGTGGAATAATATTTTATAAAGGAAATCCTGTCCAATGGTTTTCAAAGAAGCAAAAATGTGTTTCGCTTTCGTCAGCAGAATCTGAATATATAGCTGCTGCAACATCAGCCCAAGAATTAGTAAATTTAAAAGGTATTTGTGAAAATTTTAATGACAGTGTAAATTCAGTGCTTTTAGTGGACAATCAAGGTGCAATAATGATGGCAAAGTGTAACGAGAACTCTAAACGAACAAAACACATTGATATTAAATTCCATTATATTAAAGATCTTGTGAGGAAAAATATTATAAAAATTAATTATGTAAGTACTGAAAATAATATTGCTGATTTATTAACAAAAGGTTTGTGTAAAGAAAAGTTCAACAAATTTGTAAAAGTTTTTATTGTATAACGTGGTAATAAAAATGTATAATTAACATAATTCTGATTTGATATATTATGTAAACTTATGATAACGATATGTAAAAGAATTTGTAGAACATTGTGTAAAACAATCTTAGTAAAGTTATAATTTCATACTTTGTGTAAGTGCAATTTAAAATTTTGTAGTAAATTTG